ACTGGCATCCTCCCCACCCTGCCTCTATCCCGGCAGTTTTTTTTTTCTCCCGCTGTTTATCTCACTCTTCCCCCACTCCTCTCCCCCGACATCCATCCTTGTGATCTCGCTCCTTAAATCATTGCCGATAGACTGCAGCAGCACACGTGCACCACACACGCTCATGTGGAGGCAAGGGGTGCGCAGAGGTATTATAGCCCAGTCATTAAGCACACGCGCGCAAACAAACACACACACACACACACACACACACACACACACACACACACACACACACACACACACACACACACATTGGAAATGAAAGATAATAAAGTTTTTATCGTGGGTTAAGAGATGATGACGATGGGGTAGGGAAGGAGCCAAAGAGAAGTGCGCACATGGAGATGGTTTGAAAAGGAAAAAGATGAGGACAGGGAAGAAGGGAGAAGAGGAAAAGGGGACAAGGAATTCTAAAAGCTAAGAAAGCAAAGCAATATGTGGGACAACGTTAAGATGAATGTGGTAGTGATGCATCGCGAGGGGCAGAGGAGGAGAGTCAGCAAGAAAGACCTTGTGCTCATTTGCGAACAAAAAAAAAAAAATCTCTGTGTGAGAGTGAGGCGGCGGGGTGGGGTGGGGGGGGGGGCTGGGGGAGTGGGAGGAGGGAGCGGAAGAGGGGGGAGGGTTGGAGATATTGTCATCCAGTCCTGCCAGAGAACAGAAGAGAACGGCAACGGAAAGCATCGGCAAGTTGGAGGATACGGACGCAAGCGCTGGGATGGGAGCAACGTGGAAATAAAGGAATACCAAACGGAGCGACGTCTGCAAAGGCAAAGGATGGAATGACAGAAAGAGAGAAAGCATTTTGTTGCTTGCGGACTTTCCTGTCTCTTCCCACTTCTGTTTGGAGCACCCCACAGTGAAAACACATACATATGATATATATCTAAAATTCCTATACATATATATCAAATTATGCCTGTTTTCAAAGAAGCGGCTGCTGGACAAGGAGAGAACTGACCACAATCCTCTCGTATGATTCCAATAGATCAGATGCAACAATTAGCTCAAAACTGTTGCATATTGGTGGCTTGAGATTCTTTTGGGTCAGCTTTTGCTCAGGTGCTCGTAATGTGAGTGGAAAATTTGAGCAACTTGCACCTGAACCAGCCCAAATAAGAACAAAAGAGCATCTGCTGCAGTCCAAGCGGGCTTCCTTTGAAAACAGGACATGTTTTGATGTGCCGATTGGTGGCACGCCGCCGCCGCCGCTGCTCTTGCTGTTACTGCTGCTGCTGTTATTTGGGCTGTCGCATCACCGCTTCACCTTCGTTCTTCACAACAAGCGACGGACATTTATTTTGGCCAAACTTGTGCTCTTGCACATCTCACAATGCAGAGAGAGCAGGTCTCCCTTGACCTCATGCTGATATTTGGTGAGCTTCAACAAAAGTCCAACAGTCCGGCTTGGAAAGAGATCAGGTATATTTTATGGGGCATTTCAAATTAAGGGTAGGGACGAATTTCTTCCTTTTAAGAGAACTTAGCCAAAAGTAAACCAAAATCCATGATGTGGGATTCTCCTTCAATAAATCCATCATCTTTCTTTTTTTTTTATAGCGTCTCTTGTGCAGCCTCACTAAGACGTTGAGAGCCAACATCACAACAGCATCCATATTCTCCCCCCCCCCTTTCCCCCGCCCTTCCCTCCTCAAGTAGGACAAAGCTAAATAGACGAAACCCAGCTGGTGTCCAGGGTCTGTTACAGATCGTGGGGTCCGGACATAACAGGACTTGCAGGGGCGGGCGGAGGGGAGAGGGGTCAAGCAAGAGCGGACCAGGTGCATAAAGGCACTGGACTCCTTGCGTGGTGACTGGAAGCCGCTGACAAAGAAAGAGCAGTCGGGAAATTGAAGCTGTCTGTGTGTGTGTGCGTGTGTGTGAGAGAGAGCGAGAGAGACACACACGTGCAAAAAGGAGAGGCGCTTCTGGACAGCCGTCATCGGAAGATGATAGCCGGATGAGTGCCCCAGGAGTTTTTTTGGGGGGGGGTTGTTTTTTCGAAAGAACAGCCTTGTTTACCTGTTGGCTCGTTGACCGAGAATAGGAAGACGACGGAAAAGGGCAAAAAGATGCCCACCACGAAAATAAAAGTGCACCCGTTGTGCATTGACATTGTCAGCGGGAAGATGAAAGACACGAGTTAAGCGAGGAGGAGTCGAGGAGGCAAGACGACTCCTGTGGGAAACCAACACACTCCGGTGAGTTTTCCTCGGGACGTCAAAAGTGATTTGGCGCCACTCATCAGATGTGTTACCCACTCAGGAATACGAGCATGGTTGAGGATTGAGAAACCCTCCAAAATGGGAACTGTGGATTGTTTGTGAGCCTGAGAAGAAACCCCCCGCCCCCTGCCCCATCCCTCCTTTCTTCTTTTGACAGCAAACACTTTCACAGATTGTTCTTTGACTGAGCAAAGTGGGAAACTGATTGCAGGAAATGCTACGAGCACGCTTATTTGTGGCCAGCAAGCGCTTCTGAACTGGATCCACTGCAAGCCAGCGGATTTGCATTTTTTTCCAACTTCTGGATGCCAAATGGCTTCATGAAAGGTGACACTTCCACAATTTTGGACCACTCACCTACAAACACACACGTGCATGTCAGTCAGGTAGCGACTGTCAAACTTGTACATTTTCAGGGACACGGGTGCACCTACTGTAAAATTCGAGATGAATTCCCCAGAGTCAAACTGTCACCATCATCAAACTTTTATTAACTGAGCAGCCAATTTTTAATTTAGCATTTGTTTACTGACATAAAAGCATAAAAATGAGTCAATAAGTTAAAAAAAAAAAAAAAAAGTTTAGCTTGAATGAATGCTTTTGATTCAACATGGCGACTGTACCGTGTTGGTGTGAGCACGCTGATTTACGTGTGAGAATGACTATTTAACACTCGTCTTGTCCCCCCCCCACCCCCAGGTTCTTGAATGTTGAGCCTATCAGTCACCCATCAACACTGAGGCATCAAGACCAAAGGACCTAAGATGTCTGCCTACCTGCAACCAATGCTGGTCAGCTTCTCAGCGGCCATTCTTCTCGCTTTGACGTCTCCGGGTGGACTTCCCCATCGGCCTTTGGGTCAGGTTTCAGCCCAGGCTCCTCCGAATAACTTCACAACTGAGCCCTCGGTGTTACCGGAGGCCGCCCTGGCGACGCCGACTGCGGAAACGGAGGACAAAACTCCAGGCGGCGCGAATCGTTGCTGGGGCTACTACGACGTCATGGGCCAGTGGGACCCACCGTTCAATTGTAACGCGGGGATCTACAGCTTTTGTTGTGGCTCCTGCTTCTATCGCTTCTGCTGCCAATTCAAAATCCACAGTTTGGATCAGACTTCCTGTTCAAACTACGACACGCCCGTCTGGGCAAACACCGGGCGACCGGCGGCACCCGTCACAGAGGTCCACCAGGAGCCAGATCGCGACCGAACCCACATGATCGTGTATATTATCTGTGGCGTGGTGGCCATCATGGTGCTCGTCGGAATTTTCACCAAGTTGGGTCTGGAGAAGAGTCGAGGCGGACAAACGGATATGACCAATTCCAGGTAGGACCTGAAAAAAGACGATTGATACTCTTGTTCTCGTGACACCTTAATCAAATCGTTATTGCGATGAAGCAATTGACTTTTAGAAAAGACATTCGCTTTACAGAACACAAACAAGCCAAGGTGCTTCGGGTCCACAGAAATCACAGATTGGATGTGCTGTACTCAGAGCCACCTTGCCATTTTTGCCAAGTAGACTGTATTTTTGGTTTATTTTTGTCCAAGAATAAGAGCATCCACGTCTCCAATGACCTAAATGGCCACAAAACACACTGAACAAGTCGTCACTACATTCCAGCAAAGTATTGTTTCTTTCTGGCATGCTGTTACTAAGCAATATTGTTTTGTTTTGTTTTGTTTTTTTTTAAATACGGTATTTCACTGCTGAGGTTCTAGTTCATTTTTGGAATACCAACACCATTTGGTTAAAAATAAGAGTTTAGATTCAATTTGCACATTTATTAACATCAAATGCGACTTTCATCTGAAGATGAAATCTAAAAATCTGAAAGTCCACCATGAAAGCGCCTTCCTCCATCTGTCGGTGCACATGTAAGTTTTTTATTTTGTTGTTGTTTTTACATTAGGATGCTTTTAGTTCTTTTACTTTGGCGGGAATTTGACAAAACGTGTATGTGATTTTGCGTGGCGTTTTGCTCGCGGACTGGTTGTGCAGCTGTTTCACATTGATGCTGGGATTGATTGCTGTGACACAACTGCGACTCTGACAATGTTTGGCCTCCAGTGAACGATCCGAAGGGAGCGGGTGGTTTTTGGATGGCTGGAATATTGACCGGATGTGACTGGAGAGGAGCCAACGGTTAATTCTAGTGCACAGAACAGTGAGGACAAGGGAGAGACACAAAGTGTGTGTCAGTGTGTTGGGTGTGACCAGCCAGCCTATTGGCTGGAAAGAATTGCACCATGGGGGGGCTCCTTTAAAATGTCGTCATGACCACATCTCTCAGCCTACTCGGCAGAGGAGTAAAACGATGGTGTGGGGGTCTAATGGGGAGTGAGGACGACTGGACACCAGAACTCGTTAATCCCGGCTTTGTAAATTGTGACACCCATAACGTGACGTAAACTGGCAGCTCTTGGCAAACGCTGTTCTCGGATATATGAACTTCTTAAATGAAGCGATTTCTTGGATGATTATTCTGAATTTCAGTCACCTGCAAAAAAAAAAAAACCCTCCATCTTCTTCGTTATTGCAATTCTCTGTTGGCAGCACCTATGCCATCAATGCAGCATTGTATGAAATTCATCCTGGAAATATTTAAATCACTGTAACTTGCACGTGAGGCCAGTAGTTAGCCATGTCACTTTGTGAAATACATCGCAGTCATATGCTGAATGTAAAACTTCAATTTAAAAAAAATAATAATAATAATAAGATGAATGGATCGGTGGTATTCCGATTTTTTTTTTTTACACTAAGTACAACCCCAAAATTATTTAGGTCGCTATGTACAACGCTCATGACCACAATAAAGTGAAGTCGCGTAGTAGGCCCAAGCGTCCATCAAAATCTTGGTGGATGGGGACAGTAAGAGTGAGTTTAATTGACATAATATGGCCCCCAAACCGAGTTTCCATACCCATAATTAGCAGCTACATGCTAGGAGAAGAGCCGCCCCTTTCAAGCAACTGGCCGACGACACAGTCTGAAACACTCGGTCAAAACCAAAAGGTACACAGTGTATATGTTACTCGACTGTACTATTTTTGTTGGATACACATCGTTGTGTTAGCTAACAGCAATATAAGCATTAGCTTCTGATGATTTGCTTTTTTAGAATTGGGGATCCACAAGTAGGTCTATCCCAAAGCATCATGGGAACAAAAGCCATCGTTAGCGGTGGCCCTGTAATTTCGTGGGGAGGGATGAACCGTGTTTCATTTGCATGAGACACGACTCCACCCTTTGAAGTGGATGTTAAGCATGATGTAATTCTTTACCCTTGGGGCATTTGTACACCTGTTTTAAATTGTGGGGGAAAAAAAAAAAGAAACAAAGAATATTGACTCTGTTAAAAGAGCTCGTATAAATGCCTTCTTAGAGTCTTCAGTTTACCTCCCATACTGTAGATCCATGCTTTTGGATAGAGGGAGGAAGCTGCAGCGCCGCGAAAGAAACCCACACAAGCAGAGGAAAGTTCCGAGTTCAACTTCAGCCTCAAGATCTTGTCCAACACGTTGCGCTTGACATCAGCTGTTTCGTGGCCAAAGACCGAAATGCGTTTCTATTCAGAAAAGATGAGCTCATCTTGGCATGCCAATCACATTTTCAAATTCACTCTCAACCTGTGATTGTCAGGTTCTTTCCACCAGCTGTGATGCGCACACGTGCGCTTGTGTGTGTGTGTGTGTGTGTGTGTGTGTGTGAGAGAGTATACCATGTCGGTGCAGTAGACAAGATAAATCTCACCACAAAGCTGTTAAGGTGCTAATGCGCTGAAATCCTGGGTCAGGCAATCACAACACAGTCAGTGGCGCACTGATGTAGAGCTCAAAACAAAGTGAGGGAAAGCACAACACAAACGCGCACCC